CTCCCAAAGTGCTGGAAGTACAGAAATGAGCCACCGTGCCTGGCCAAGAATTCTGTGTGCTTGTTTACCCCTTCCAATATTTTGAGGAGAAAATGTAAAATTTTTTCCCTCGTAACAGCATTTGCAGTTTCTAGTCTCAGTGGTCTTGAATTACTAAAAGTCTGATGAGAGGAAGAGGAGAGAGATAATGATGTTGATTATATCCTGTTTACTGAAGTTAAATGGATGTGTAAATGACAATGGGGTTGTACACATTTTCAACTGCTCTTTCCATGCCTGCAAAGGCTCCTCCTTGAGAGGGCCCATTACCTGTAATCTCAGTATTTGACAATGGGGATACTAAGATTCACACTGTTGAACCACGATTGCGCCTTTTTCTCCCCTCACTTGAGTTAATGTTTCACAATTGGTCTAAGCCCTTGGTCTAAGAAAGTGAATATGTAGGAAGGGGCAGAGAAATGTGGGCAGATGCATTTAGTTCAGCCACCGTGCTCAGCTATTTAGAGGCACCAAAGCTAAATGTACTTTTTTTTTTTTTTTTTTGAAACAGTCTCACTCTGTAGCCTAGGCTGGAATGTAGTGGCGTCATCTTGGCTTACGGCAGTCTCCTCCTCCCGGGTTCCCATTCAAGCAATTCGCCTGCCTCAGCCTTCCCAGTAGCTGGGATTACAGGCACACGCCACTAGGCCCAGCTAAGTTTTGTATTTTTAGTAGAGATGAGGTTTCACTATGTTGGCCAGGCTGGTCTTGAACTCCTGGTTCAACTGGTCTTGATCCCCCCGCCTTGGTCTCCCGAAGTGCTAGGATTACAGGTGTGAGCCACTGTGCCCGGCCAGCTAAATTTACTTCTAAAAGAGGTAGATGAAACATTTCTTCTGCTTAGCACCTCAGGCAATATGAAATTTGTATTTAGTAAACATTTATAAACTACTTACTATATGGGCATTATTCTAAGCCCTTCACAAATATTATAATAACTCATTTAATTTTCATACAGCCTGATAAAATTCTTGATGAAACCTGTAAAAATATGTTAGTAATTTGGTACTTTGATAAATCTTAAAAGATTTGCTGTGGTTGTACAAAACTAAGCTGATTGTTCACAGAAAGACAGTACCTTTTTGCAGATACTTGATTTTAGTTTTCATATTTAAGCTGAAGATGATACAGTGAAAAGTTGTGGGGTATCAAAGCAGCAACTTAAGAAGCAACATCAGAAATCTTATTAGTTAAAATACTGTGTGGTTTGATTTTCACCCCTAGGTCTTTAAATATTTTGTTAGGGTTTTATTGCTAAAATAATACTGGAAACATTTATCAACATGTGTGTTTCATGGTATAACATGTATGCGCGAAATGCTGTTTTGTCTGTGCATTTCAAATTAGATGATATAAAGAAAATTAAATGTAAATGTTTCTCTCCTGTATCAAATTTCTCCTTTTGTTTTCTGATTCTTGTGTGGTAGTGTATTTACTCCTTTTTGGCCAGTTGAGCCCCAGAAAAAAGAAGAGCTTCAAGCAAGTACACGATGGCATGTTTAATTTTTTTCCCCTTTTAGCTTGCCTACATATTTTATGGTTTATAAAGTATGTATTGCAGCTCTGCCATGTTCATTTTGAAAATTCCATTTAAAAACCAAACTTGTAAGGACAAGTAAACAATCTCAAAAATTTTTTGTTGGGTTTTGCATTTTCTTTATATAATAGGTGATTCTGAAATAATACCAAGATTTGGGCTTAGTCTTAATTGTTATGTAGAAGCTTTTAATACCCCTTTCAGATATAATATTTTCTATATTCAGATAGTACAGAGCAAACCAAAGTTATCAGATTATTATACTTTAAAAAAAAATTTAAGTTCTTTCATCTCCCATTTCCAAATTGTAAGTTTTTGTGTTTCAAGTATTTTTCATGTCAAACTAAATATTTTGTTGGAAATTATTTATCCTGATGCTTGTGTATAGTGTGTTTCCTGTTCTTAATATTTTATTTATACTAAGTTACATTTGGGTTAATTTCATCTGTTAGGGCTCAGCATACTACAGCTGGGAGGCCAAGACTGGCCTAGCACCTATTTTTGTTTATCAGGTTTTATTGGAACACAGCCACACTCATTTGTTTAAGTGGTTGCTTTCATACTACAACAGCAGAGTTGTGTAGTTGTGACAGAGACCTCATGGTCTGCAAAGCCTAAAATACTTACTATCTGGCCCTTTACAGGAAAAGTTTGCGGACCCCTGCTTTAAATTGCAGAGGATTTAATTTTGGGCTTCGTCAGCCATTCCATAGAATATTTTGGTTTATATGAAGACAGTTCAGTATTGGTAGATTCATGAGTGAACCTTTATATAGGAAGGCAATTGAAATTTCCTTCAGTGATTTGTGAGTTGGTTAATAATGAATATGTAAGACTACCTCCCATAAAATTAAGGAATTAATGTCATTATTTGACAAACCAATTTTTTTGTGCCTCTGTTTCCTCAATTGTGAAAATTGGACTAAATAATCTTTAAGGTCTCTTTTTCTTCTGCAGTTCTAATACTAGTTCCTTGCACATTTTGTATTCATTTTGAAAAGTAATTTATAAGTATTAGTAACTAGAAGAACCTTTTATTCTGAAATTTTATTATTAAAAATAAAAAACACCCCCCAGAAAACAAGTTCAATGTGAGGAGTCAGAAGCTGTCATTTGTAAGTTAAGGCTAAATACAGATTCTGAATTTGAGGTGCTTTAAGGAAATGAAAAAAGAATGTATGTATTTTGTGCATTAGCCTCTGCTTTATTCTTTAAATATTTTCAACGTAATGCATTATGCATCTGTGATATTATTCTTTGGATTTTCAGTCTTTTCTGTGTTACATGAAAGAATATTCAGCTCTACAATTTGGGGAAATTGTTTGCTAGGTTGTTATTTTTCATGTTCAGCAAGACTGAAAATGAAGGTTTTTTTCTTTGGAGGCAGGGTCTCACCCTGTCACCCAGACGGAAGTGCAGTGGTGAAAATTAAGGCTTTTTTAATCTTAATAATTCTTACTAAAACACAGAAGGCAGATAAACCATATATTCTTTGCCATTCTACATTATTCTACTAGGATAAATATAAATTATTTGATAGTTACTTTATAATATTAGCTCCCTGTTATGAATTTTGAAGTCCTAGGGTTTGACACCAGTATAGTAATTCAAAAATAAGATTATACATTGAATATTGTGTTAGTTTGTTTTCTCTGTGGGCATTAGTGTTTAAGTAGTTACCTTCCCAAACTTTTCTATCTAGTTATATAACTGATATAATTTTTATCATGCATATTTAATTGGGTGCCTTAAGATGCTTTCCTAATTGAGAAATTTAGTATATTCACATAATAGGATATTATACAGCAATCAAATAAATGAACCATGGTTACACATAGTAATATGGATGAATGTTAACAATATTATATTGAATGAAAAGAGTATGTCCAAAAAGTTGATATAAAATGATACTCTTTTAAAAGTCAGTGACAACTAAAACCATTATTCATCTCAGGAATACATTAAAACAATAAAAACAAGGAAATAACAAACCCAGGCTTTAGGATAATAAAACTTTAGGTAGCAAGAGATGGGCTGGAGGAGGAGTAAATAGATAGAAGTTACTGTTAGTTTTCTAGTTCTTGTGTTCACAGATATTTATTATAAATATGTGATTTCAAAATTGGGCCATGCATGGACCAATGATGAGAGGATGTCATGAACAAAAAGATTGTAGTTAATCAAATTCATGTACCTGAGATCAGTTAAATTATAAAGATTTGTAAGAATTGAACATTTATATATTTATTTAAAGCTAATATTGACATATGACTTGGACAGTTGCCCTTGTATTCAAACATGTTAACATTTTGCTGTCTAATGTAAATATTTTAGCTTAAAAAATACCCACTGGCAAGTCTAATGGTATTATATTTAGCAACTATTTTGATGCCACTTGATAATTTTATATAGGTATCATTTTACAGTAAATCTCATATATTCTTGTCTGTGAAACTTTGCTTCCTCTATATAGGAGTTTCACAACCTGCAGTAAATATGCACATGACACAGTCAGTGAGAATGTTCCTTATATTAATGAAACCCAAAGGGTGATGTTTGTGTCTCCTTTTTGTGTAAGTTTACTTGCCCTTCTATATTCATTTTTTGGTAATGTTTCATTGCAGATATGTAGAGACTTTGTTCAGTCTTAACTTGCTCTTTGTAATAATAGTGTTGAATTAGATGAAATCTTTCTGTTTTGAGTAGGTCTTACCAGCAGTGTCTTAAGTGCCTAGTTCCTTTTTGTTCATAAATGATGATCTGGTTTAATACTGCAGAGCATTTTAAGCTAAGCATTTTGAGAACAGCTTCTGCCTTTCTTTTTCTTGTGGCAGCGTGTTGCTAAAGCGCTTACAGAGACACTGGTACATCAAACAGGGCTTTCCCTTTATTTTCTTACATTGCTGTAATTTTTGTTTGTTTGTTGTTTTTACCAAAGCATTTTGCTCAGAATCACTTAATGCATGCGTGTATTCAAACATGAGTATCCATTTTCCACCAGTTGGTTATGGTAGCAGCACTCAGCCTTATCTAGTTTCAGAATGTATGCTCCACTTGATTGCTGTTGATATATGTTTATTCTGTTTGTATATAGGTCCTATGCACAGTCAGTTGGAATCCCTGAGTGACTCTTGGGCTCGCCTGAAACATAGCAGAGACTGGTTATGCAACTCCTCCTATTCCTTTGAGTCTGATTTTGATCTTACCAAGTCTTTGGGAGTTCACACTTTGATTGAAAATGTTGTAAGCTTTGTGAGTGGAGATGTGGGGAATGCCCCAGGTTTTAAAGAGCCAGAGGAAAGTATGTCTACAAGTCCCCAGGCCTCCATCATTGCAATGGAACAGCAGCAGTTAAGGGCAGAAGTAAGTCTTTGATATTTACTCCTTATGAGAGCTCTGGAAGCTTAAACTGAACCATTGAATGTATAGTTCTAGGGAAAACCTTTCCTTTTCTTCTATTTCTTGCCTTCACCTTTCCTCTACCTGAGCTTTTAAACATAACTTTCTTAACTAGAACAGCACATTATTTTGTTTGAACTAGACAAAAGTGCATTTTAAAATTGTCATCTCTCAGAACAGTATACTCAGAAGTCTTCACATGTCTCCTAGAAACTAGGGTGAGACTGGTTGATGACAATAGGTCATCAGAGCCGTTTTTTTTTCTTTTTTTTGGAGATGGAGTTTAGCTCTTGTTGCCCAGGCTGTAGTGCAATGGCGAGATCTTGGCTAACTGGAACCTCTGCCTCCCGGGTTCAAGCGATTCTCTTACCTCAGCCTCCCGAGTAGCAGAGATTATAGGTGTGTGCTACCATGCTTGGCTAAATTTTTTGTATTATTAGTAGAGATGAAGTTTCACCACGATGACCAGGCTGGTCTCGATCTCCTGACCTCAGGTGATCCACTTGCCTCGGCCTCCCAAAGTACTGAGATTACAGGCCTCCTGAGCCACCGCTCCTGGCCCTGAGCCTTCATTTTTGACCCATTTGTCTCAGTTTAAATTAGACACCTGCTTTAGATTAGAACCTCACAGAAATAATTGCTGCAATCAAGTCCCACTAATGAATGCTAAAATGAGTAAGCAAAACTTGAAAGAGACATGAGATGTTTGCATAGCCTTAAAGTTTTTCCCCCCAAATATTTATCAATTATTGTGGTTTTAACATGTCCACAATTCTTTCATAGTTCTCCCTGCGGGAAGTGGGGATTAATTCTTCGCTCCTTGAGGGTGGGCTGGACTTAGTGGCTTGCTTCTAACAAATAGGCTATGGGAAGGAGATAAAATTGTAACTTTACATTGCAGAAACCTGGCAGGTATCGCCTTAACTAAATGATTAAGATTGGCTGGGCACGATGGCTCACGCCTGTAATCCCAGCACTTTGGGAGGCTGAGGTGGGTGGATCACCTGAGGTCAGGAGTTTGAGACCAGCCTGGTCAACATAGTGAAACCCTGTCTCTGCTAAAAATACAAAAATTAGCTGGGTGTGGTGGCAGACACCTGTAATCCCAGCTACTTGGGAGGCTGAGGTGGGAGAATCACTTGAACCCAGGAGGCAGAGGTTGCTGTGAGCCGAGATCGTGCCACTGCACTCCAGCCTGGACAACAAGAGTGAAACTCCATCTCAAAAAAATAAAAAAAATAAAGATTAGCATCACCAGTATTGGTGATGTGTGCATGTTGAAATCGTGTACCCTTGATATAGTATGATGAGAACACTTTATGTGGTATTCTTCCCCCAAATCCATAATTCCTGTGTAATCATGAGAAAAAAAATCAGACAACCCAAAATTTAGGGACATCTACAGAATACCTGAACAGCTCTTCCAGAGTGTCAAGGTCGTGAAAAATAAGGAAAGACAGAATCTGTCACAGGGTAGGAGAGACTGAAAAGTCATGGCAACTAAATGCAATGCAGTATATAGGATTAGATCCTGGAACAGGAAATGAACATTATGGAAAAACTAAAATCCAAACAAAGTATTTTAACTAATACTGTTTTACTTTAGGTTTAGTTAATAGTATTATACCAATGTTAATGTCTTAGTTTTCATAAATGTACAATGGTTATGCAAGATGTTAACATTAGGGGAAGCTAAAGGAAGAGTATACAAGAACTCTCTGTACCATCTTTACAACTTTTCTGTATATTTAAAATTATTTCAAAATAATGTTTTAGAAGAAGAAGGATAAGCTGATCAGCTACAGTGATGGGGAGTGTCTTCCTAGGGAAAATAGGGGCAGAAGTTCAAGAAAACCACAGATAAATAGTTCAGAAGTATTTCTCATTCCTAGACTGAAGAGTATTCATTCTATGTAAACTTAATTAAGAAAGCAATAGCAGTGCTACCTTATAGTTTTGAAACCTTCACGTACATCTCCTTATGAGCTTCACAGTAGCTGTGTGAATAGATTAGATAAGGTATTATTAGTCTTATTTTATATATGAGGAAACAAATTCAGTAAGTTAAGAGACTTTCCCAAGGCCACACAGTAAGATAAAAGAGTCTGTCCTTGAAACTATGCCTCCTACATCCAAAGCTACTACTTTTCCTATTGTACTCTAACCTTTTTTATTCTGAAGTATGTTTATAGAATTTTTAGAAATATCTTCATAAAAAGTAATAATAAAATAAATGTTTATCGTAGAATAGATTCATATGAAATGTCAGAATTTTCTAAGTGTTAAAAATACTGTCTTTGGCATCCAGAGTTTCTTTGTGTCTGAGTTCAATGAAGAACTCTAAAATATGTTTTTTTCCTCAAGCTTCGTTTAGAGGCACTTCATCAGATCCTCGTTCTATTGTCTGGGATGGAAGAAAAAGGTAGCATCTCACTGGCAGGAAGCAGGTTGAGTTCAGGCTTCCAGTCATCCACACTACTCACGTCTGTGAGGCTGCAGTTCCTAGCAGGGTGTTTTGGTTTAGGCACTGTTGGACACACAGGATCCAAGGGAGAGAGTGGCCGATTGCATCACTATCAGGTAGGTGACACCTTGCAGTATATACAGATTTTAACTGTCATTTTACAAAGCCACTTTAATAATGTGAAGCTTTTTGGTATTTATAATTCAGTTTAAAAATACGAAGACTTTAAATTTTTTAAGATAGCTCATTGGTTTCATTTCCTAAATATTGTGGTTGAGATTAGGTGAGCCATGGTACTATTGTACTATTGTAGATTATTTGCTGGCTCAGTTTTATTATCCAGTTTGGATGGGAATGGATCCAAATTAGGATAGGGATTAGAGTTTGGGAGGATGGGTTTCAAGAGCTTACATTTTAGATTTGATCATTTACCTAGTTTGTGTGATTCCTTTGATAACTTAGGGGAAAAAAAGTGTTAATATGTCTTTCATATTTAGGCAGGAAAAACTGCTTTGTGAGGAAATAGAAAGATTATACAGACTCGGCTGGGTGCAGTGGCTCACACCTGTAATCCTAGCACTTTGGGAGGCTGAAGTGGTCGGATCACCTGAGGTCAGGAGTTCAGGACCAGCCTGGCCAACATGGCGAAACCTCGTCTCTACTAAAA